GTTAGCAAAATAATCGTTTAATCTTATTTTCAAAATGATGATTGATTGTTGTTTGTCTAACGTCTAATGGCAAATATTTATTGCATGTTCAGGACGAGCGCAAATTAGCAAAAGGTTGGTCGACTGTGCTGAAGAGCAGAAACTACAGAACCCTCAAGCAGTTTTTTCAATGGTTCTTTGTTGTGCAGAGTCTCCCACTCTATCAACACATCGGAACAACGATAGGATCTAACGTCCCCATTCCGACCAGACGTCACTCCGTATTAAAACACCCCGCACAGACAAATGGATGTACTGCTTGAATGAAGAAGTCCAGTGATGATTTTATTTCTATACTCCAGTCAACTCTTGAAGTCCATAAAACCTGACAAAATCAAACGTTAGACTATACAACCAACGGAATGAAAGCTTGACATATAGCTCTTGAGGTATGTTGACCTCTAGATGTCTGCTGATTTTTATTGAGTAATGTCATTGACCTTTCCCGAAATATCCTTTTATTCATATAATATATAAAAAAAAAAAACTAATTAGCTCCTTATTGATTTCCCTGCAATATCGCGACCATAAGATAAGTCTATCTCAGCTCTTTTGACATTAAAAGTTCAGTCATGTTCAGTACTAATTGTATATTTAATTTAACAATACTTTATCGTATCTACAGGCATGTTCCATAATTAGACGTACATGTGCCATGTATTTATAGGATAAAATCCTGTTTTGTTATGCACAAACTTGGAAATAGATATACTGCGTTATAGTCAATAAGCTAATCAAGGTCGTATGTCATATTGTTATGTTTTATTGGTAATATCTAACAAAATATGTGTCTACTGTCAACAGTTGAAGGTTGATGGCTTCTGTTGTCCATGTTGAAAAGTATCAAAGGTCTGAACTAAAGAAGGCACATAGAAGTAATTCGAATATAAAAGAGAGGCGAAAGATAACAAATGGATTTTTGAAGTCATTTGTCGAAAACAAACTGATAATGCCATGGCTATAAACGAAAAACGACGGAAAGACAAACAACAGAACACAAAACACAACATATAAAACCAAAGACTGAGCAACACAAACCCCACCAACCGATGGTGATCTCAGTTGCCCCGGAAGGGTAGACAGATCCTTTTTTTTTAGATTATGCTATCATATATAAAAAAAAGTCATCAAAGATACCAGTCATAATTGTTAACGTCAGACGCGCGTTTCGTCTACCAAAAAGACTCATCATTGACGCTCGAATAAAAAAAGTTAAAAGGCCAAATAAAGTACACCAAGTTGAAGAGCATTGAGGACCAAAAATTCTGGAAGATTTTGCTAAATACTCATCAAAGATATAAACAACTAGGTGGTAATTATATTTTCTGTAAATCATTCACTTTTATGATATATAAAAAATTAGAAGATGTGAACCGAATAGGTTTAATGTATGATGTGTACCGAGAAGATTGATATAAAAATAAGAAGATGTGGTATGGTTGCAAATGACACAACTCTCCACCAGAGACCAAATGATTTAAAAGTTAACAACTAAAGGTTACTGTACGTCCTTCAATAATGAGCAAACCCCATACCGCATAGTCAACTATAAAAGGCCCCGAAATGACAAATGTAAAACAATTCTAACGAGAAAACTAACGGCCTGATTTATATTATGTCCAAAACAATGAACGAAAAACAAATATGATATACAACAACAAACGACAACCACTGAATTACAGGCTCCTGACTTGGGACAGGCACATACATAATGTGGTGGGGTTAAACATGTTTGGAGGCGCCAACCCTCCACATAACATGGGACTCTTTTAACAGTGGAATCCTTTAGTGACTCAAGATTTCCAAATATTTTGGAACATAAGACATTCACCTGATTTTACCCAGGAACTTTACGGTTAGAGGCGTTTAAATGCTTAAGATTGTATAAATATTACAGTATAATAAAGTCCTAATATCGAGCTCTGCAATGCGGACGCTTGAATCATTGACTTCATAGAAAAAGAAAATCGACAAGTCAACTGTTATTTGTATAGACAGGTATGAGTGATAGAGTCAAATTTAAATATAACAGAAATTGACGCCTACAAATTTATTTAAATGTTGGTATAAACTATTGTACACTAGCCCCAACAGGATTTATATCATTATATATTTGTATATAACAATAATGAATCAATATTTCTTATTCCTTATTTGGTACATGTATTTTCAGAGGCGAGTGATTAAACCAGATATTTAATCACCAAATCTCAACTTAATGGGAGTTATGTGTACACCCAAATTATCAGGGAAATATGAATACATGCAAAAGAAAAGTTATGACTACTTTTTGGTCCCTTGTATTCGAATATCAAAAGGTGTATTTATAAATCTATTAAATAACATCTTTCGGATGCACATTATCACAGGACATAAGTCTTTCAGATATCAATAATCATATTTTTAAATTGTGTCTTGCATACATGTATTTGTTTTAGAGCTTTGACCATTACAAAAAAGCCTAATTTAGACATCTTGTCATTAATATTTATAAATTTGAGGCGCAGTCTGATCAAAAAGGTAATTTGCTACAAGATGTCTTATTCAGAGATGTTAATTTGGGTACATATCTTTTTGGGTAAAACATTGATTCATAACTAAGTTTGTTAAAATTTATATGTAAATAAAGGTAGCATTTTAAATCTTTTATGTTCATTGTTGTGTTGTTGACTTACTGTCTCGTGTTCGAAATTGAGAGTCGATTTGTTTTTGTCATTATTTGCCATAAAATAAATTTGACCCCTGTGTTCAATGACACGATATTTTCTCGATCACTTTCCAACTTTTCAGATTTTCTGGATCATATGAATTTACTTTGCAAAGGAAAGTTTTTTGTTGGGCACTTTAACAGTGTTTTATTATTTAACTTACGTTTATGTATTATATAATTTATGATAAATTGAAGTTCAAACTTGCATATCGTTTCTGTTGTTGACTATAGTATATATGTAAATACATTGTTAAGTTGACAACTTCAGAAAAATTTTACCCTCGACCCTCCTCGGAATTCACTGTTTTGGACTCCATGCATCGCACTTTTAAAACGCCAAAAATTTATTTCATTGCATAATTTTGGAAGGCCACGACTACGCTAAACGCATGTAGAGAACTGACTGAGATCTAAACCAAACTGCTAAATGGAATAACATCCAACTACGCCTGAGGAAGTTTGGGTTTTGGCAATTCTCATGAACATGAACTGAAGTATCGATATCATACCAAACAGGATGTACTGACAAGATGTTTCTCAACATGTTACACTATTAAATGGAAATGCGTAGTCTTTCCAAAGAGTTCGTATGCAAGGGACAACACGTGGAATTATTGACATTTCACCGAAAACGATCTCAATAACGATCTGTCGTAATGCATGTAAATAGCATTTTATTTTTTTTTGTTTATGAAGACAGCTGTGAGTTCAAATGAAATCAGTTTACAATTGAAAAAAACCCGACACTTATGAACAAACATGTACATTACAAATACATGCTGGTAGTAAACTATGCTCTTATGTACTTTATAAAAATAATTTTGTCTGTGAAAAATATTTATCTGTAATCCACAATGTTGATATTAGAAAAAATCTGACAAGGCTGCGTGTTTCAGCACACTCCCTAAAGATTGAAAAGGGAAGGTATCAGGGTATTCCACGACACGATAGAACTTTTCCCAGATGCTTAAGTTCTGAAGTTGAAGATGAGTTACATTTTCTTCTTATAATTGTACCTCATTGAATAATGAGAGAAGTAAATTAATACTTTGTGCTAGGAAATATTGTGCTCATTTTGATAAGTTGACAATTAAAGATCAGTTTATTTGGTTAATGAGTAATGATATCTTGTATGAAATGTGTGCTTTCATACAAGAGAATGAAAAATACTCATAATTCATACCATTGTTTGTGTATTTTGTGTATTTTCTTTTTTCTCTCAGAGCATTGCGTCCAAATCCAAATATTTTTATACAAAAATTTTACACAATATATTACTATGTCCTTTAAGCACCTGCCCTTGGTGGCTCATGCATTTGGATAACTACATATTAATCTTATTTATGTGCATTAGCCACAAGGAAGACTATAATATAGTAATTCTTTTTAAGTATTAGTTTATGCTTGTGTTGTAAAGTGTTTAAGTTTTCATATTTCTGTGTATTGGCTTGAGTGTCCTTTAAGCACCTGCCCTTGGTGACTCCTGCATATGAACAATAATACTATTTGTTCATATGCATCAGCCACGAGGAAGGACTTAACTCAAAAGCTTTTTCTATAATGGATGTGATGCTGCTTCTGGTGCATGGTCGGCAATAAACACTAAACTTACTGGTTTATGTGACTACATGTATTATTAACTCAATTTATATTACATGCTTTTTGTCAGTTGTATTTCTATTTTTTATTTTCTTGTGTATTGTCTATTGCAATTGTGTGATAAAAAAATCAATGTACTGATAATGCCTATAATGGGTCCTCTATTGGAAATAAAATTTATCTATGTATTAAACATCATAAGTATTGACTCATATATAATAGTCATCTAACTTTATTTCTACACCTTTCTTTCCGCTCTATATTATATTTGGTCTTCATTAAAAATTGTAGTGTGTAATTGAACTTTAAATCACTACAGACATGCTTTGTACTACCGATCAAATGTAGACCAGTGCACTGAACGTCTGATATATAACATCGCACTCTCATTGGGTTAATGCACTAAATATGTTGGGAGAACTTAACATATTATCACTGAGAAGTGCATAACTGTATTATCTATGATATTTCATAACTGCACGGTAAAAGAGTTATATATAATATTTGACACTCTCTGTGAAAGTTACACTGTACGGTTAACATGCAATTTTAAAAGGAACTTCAAATGAAAATCGTATATGTGTCAAGAACAAATACCTTCGACATTGATAAATTTTAGCCAATCAAAATCCAGTATAAACTTCTTTTTGTTGTTGAACGTATTTATGAGAATTGATTTTACCACGGAACTCAGAATGTATATCTGTCATTGTTCATAAAGCACGTGGATTACTGCGTTACGAAATTTTGATTTTTATTCGTCAGTGATTACAAAATGACTTTCCCTGAAGAATTTGATGTTCTCGTGGATTCAAACAGGTAAGATATTTAATTTATATTATATAGATATACTTTTTTATTTAACTTTTAAGTTCGAACTTCGATACATTGTATATTGAAAAAAATAAGCAAACTACAGTCAATGTATTTAAAACAGAGACGCATCGAGGGAAAAAATAAACGCAAGAACAGGAGGTCACTCTTTTGGCATGTGAAGTGTAGTGCTAGAAAATACTAACTTAGATAAAAATGGGTAATTAATTGCCCATCCCCCCAAAAAATCTATAATGAATGTAAAAAATCGCACACATACATGCATACATAGGTATTCTTAATAACATTTTTGTCTACTATTGAATCTGATTTATTAAACAAAATTGTTCAGGTATAAGGGCTGATATCAGTGTCCTATGAAGGATTTCCCCCTCAGGTATATTCTTCTACATGCAACCTTTTGAGTTGGATTTGCAGCATACGATAAATTTAATGAAAAATATGGCTAATGCAATAGACTTTGAACATACTCGGTACTGTTTTGACAGCAATCTAAACCATATTTGTAGGTCATAAATTTCAAGATTATAAATTTCAAAGGTGCACCAAGGAATAAAATGACATGGGCATGATGGAACAGACAATTAATTCGCATATTACCAAGTGCTCGTGATTCCTTGTGTCTATATACGAAAACTCGTGATTAAACTTGCTTGTTCTAACCCAGTACACATCAACCCATGACACGTCTGCTCTAGTATGACGTCAAACGTATTGACTGATTTAAACTGCCAGATCATATGAGATGATGTGGAAGGTGTGATATAAATAGAAATGGGGAATTTACATTTATGTTGTTTACATTTTATTTTTCAGAAATGATGTAAACAATTTGGGATTTGCGTTGAAAGAAGTCTTGAAAAAAGGTCAAAAAGAGGACAGAGTTGTTGCTGGTGTTTATGAATGTGCTAAAATATTACAGAAGTAAGTCGAATATGATAAACAATGAAAAAAAGAAAATAATTGGGAAAAAATCATGTACACAAAACGTAAACAGGAAACAAAAAAGCAATCAAGTCAATATTGTGTATAGTAAATAAATCAAGGTCGCTGACTATGAAACTGGAAAACAACCTGAATTTGTAATATGTTAATAATGCGCAATTGCTTAAAATTCACACGCTCTTTAGATTATATTACACTAATAACGGAATAACCAAACGGTAAAAAAAACCCCGAAATTATTAGACTCGAGAACATTACATCATAAAGAAATTTAAATAAAGAACGAAATATTTTCATGTATTATTGGTTTAGAGAATGTATTTTCACGACAGTCAATATAATGAAGATAATAATAATCTTTAACTTTCTTTTAGCTCTCCAGAAAATGTTGGGCTTTGCTTGCTTCAAAATAAAACAGAAGATGTTACTGTGCAAATTCACCAGAAACTCGTGGAGGCATTTTGCTGGGAAAACGACATTGAAGTCATCAAGGTAATTATAGATAACGTTATAATTTTGTGACGTAATTGTGTTATCAAATAAAGAGAAATATATTACTCTGAATTTCAGAAGTTAACTGGTTTCTACTATAGTATCACAAATAATTGTTAAGTTTGTGTTGTCAAAAAGAAAAGTGGGAGATGACATATCCAACACTTACCTTAATATTATTTTTATTTTAGGTCGATTGTTTGAAAACTGTTGAAAGCGTGCTTTCACCAACAAATATAGGAGATGGCAGTGTAGAAATCGACTGTGTTCTGATACACAATGATACTTCAGACAGCATTGAAGAGTTTATCAACAATTATTACGCCATGTTAGCGACACAGTGTACAGTTGTCCGGATACCTGATTGATGATAGTTACAGTTCATATGACCTTTCACCAGGTAATTAAAAGATGTGCATAATTGATTTTCAAATAATAAAAGTGTAAGCAGCAAAATAAAGTAAATAATGAAAAAAACGATATCAAAGAAAAGAGGAAAAGGTCAGAATCACTATTTTGACTTCGAAAATGCGAAAATAGTAAAATTCTGGTATCCTTGAAAATGTGTTAGTTTTATAGACAGAATGATATAAGCTGGACTTTTTATGCAGAAATGTCAGTTGAAGTGTCTCTATAATGTTATGAACATGTCGTAATTGTCATATTCGACCTCGAAAGAGTCAATTTACAGATGCTTATTGCAATATTTTGTATAAAAAATCTTGATATAAATAAAGCTGTTGCTCGTAACTATCTAACTATTAATAACAAGATCACAAAATGAGACCAGTTAAGGAGTTTTGCATCAATACAAGATGTTTGAAGCACTGAAGCAGCACTCTAAAATATAAATGCTAATATCTAACATACCAATGTCTTTTGATAGATTTATAATACTTTGTTTACTCTTCTCAGTCAACGGCCTTAAAGTTGGCTAACTATACATCATTTTATAATGATTTTATACAACATGGACGTATATGATGATTGCAGTGCAAGTATATTATTTTTAATAAACATCACGATTTTTTGTTTACAGGAAGCCAAACCTGGATATTTAGATGTCATTAAAGAACCGTTACTTATACGACCACTATAGAGTTCCAGTGACCTATGCACCTGATAATATGACCTGGTGATAGCATTTTGCTGTACAGAAACTCGCCAATGGTAATCAATGAAAACATGCACTCCAAACACGGAGTCAGGAGGAGTATGCAGTACTCATTTGGTTTCTCGAAAACTGTGTAACATTTCACTACTGACTATCGTTATTATTAATACAAATCTGTATTTATATCATTTATTTATATGCTAATAAAAGTTTTATAGTCTCTTTGTGCTGCCTTCATCATTAATTTTGAACAAATTGGAAGGAGGAAAGAATTAAACATGACTTGATATAAATTCAGATAAAATAAAATGTATGCAATCAAAGCTGTAACGTCTTAATGTTTTTTATTTATTTGAAAAATATAGGTAAATGATTAAGATGACAAATGTTAGTTTTCCTTTTTATTTAAACTTTTTTCACTCACATGAAGGACTCAATTCAATAATGTTGGTTTAATTGTATCAGATCTCGAATCCGACACACGCATCTCATTCAAGTAGATCAATTGAAGACAAGATATACAATAGATTGATAGTAATGTACCCTTGGTATACAACCAATGTACCCCCATTATACACAAACAATTTACAAATGTAAAAAGGAGGTACTATGACCTAAATTGCGAAAAGACTTTAATTCTTCTAACCTTTCAAAATGATGTAAATTATATTCAAAAATCAATAATACACTTTTTTAAAAGTGCAGAAATATCAGTTTGATAAATTCTATTATATTAAAAAAACAATAGTACACTTTAAGTGCAGAAACATCAGTTTGAAGTCACTATAATGTCAGGCACATGTCATATTTGGCATATATTACTTAGAGTATGGAAAATTATGTATGAGGAATAGTTTACTGTCGGTAGTGCTATAATCTGATAATATATCTAAATAATAATGACGAGACCCCAAAATGAAGCTATTTTGTCAGATATGCAGTTTTGCTCTAAATGCAAGTTACGGCAAACTTTATAAGACAAGTTTCATAAATATAAGAACTGCTATCTGACAGACCATCTGTGTCTTAAGAACACTTGAAGGATGTTATTTGACGAATTTAAATAATACTTTTTAATTTTTCATGCAAAGGACCAAAGAGGAACCTTTAATCCGACAAAATTAAGTCAACTTCCTGTATAGGCTTCAAGCAAAAAAGGTTAGCTTTAATAAGACCTTCAAAATATATGCCTAAAATAAAAAGTGATATCATGTCTATATACAAACTAAAGTCGAACTTGTAATATTTCCTAAAGTTATAATTAGATTCCTGTAAAGTCACTTAAAATAGGCAAATGTAAATTTACTAAAGGAAGTATTTTTCAAAATAAAAATTGAACTCTATTTTTATTTTTGTGTGTTTTAAACCAGGTTTTTGGAATTTTCATCTTGAATCAGACATATGCAGATAAAAATCTTTGAAAAACGAGACAATCTTGTCAAACGTCAACTGTACACGTGTATGCATGTTAAAATATATTCTGGGGTTTGCAGTTGCTTTAAAGACCATCTCCAACACAACAACTTGCTAACCTTAAAGAGATTCAATACATGAAACAAACAAGGAGCGATTCAGTATTTTATTGGAGAAGCTAAATTAAGGCCACAGTACTTTACGGATTTCAAAACACTCAATTGGAAGATACTAGGTCTTTTTATAGATTCAGATTCAGATTCAATATCTAATTAAAGTCTCTCCACTTGTAATACTTGTAGGTATTTTTATATGATGACAGTAATCGAAATTTGATTAACAAATCCTGGCCTAGTGATACAACAAATTTATGTGTAGGGATTATTCTGTCTATTGTAATTCACTCTGAAAACTATCGGATTGTATATGTCCCTGGACACATTTCTATAATGGTATACATCACAAACTATAAATATATAAGATCGTCTATATTTAAACTGTTTCATTTATTTTCATTTATTAATTCATTCAAAGTAGGAAGTATAAGAGCCATTTTCTTGCCCATTAATTCCAAAAATAGTAAATTTGTTCAATCCTTGTAAAATATAAGTTCTATTGATAAATTGAAATAGGATAATATCGTCTAGAGACTTTAGAACAGTAAGTCTGGGTGTGATATCACTATGTCATTAACATATTGAAATAATGTTAACGATGCTATGCAATTTTACAGCACCATATGCACGCATTTAAACAGCTAATGTCTCTTCAGTGATGCTTGAGGCCAACATATTTGAAAATCCAAAATCTAATACAATGTTGACGAGCTGATAAAACCAAACAAAAAAGAAGACAAATTATAACCGAATCTAGACAAGGAATAAGAACTGACATTTGTGACATAAAATGGTCTTTTAATTTGCATTTTTATTTATCAAACTAAGTTATGAGTCAAGGCTTTACCTTAAAAAGACATGTACCCAAATCAAAACAGTTGATAGGCCAAATCAAATACAACGTTGAATTATTTAGTATTAAATTATATCATTAAGTAAAACCATACCATGGTAATATGTTATCACAGTTCATTGGTTGATACGTTGTGGATTTGACAGCCGATCGAGTTTCAATAGTGTTTCTTCTGCAATGTACGGAATATTGTGAATGTAATTGGTCATTTTCATTTTGAACCTATCTGTATTACTGAAATAAAGTAATAATCAATGGTTAATAACTTTTTATTATAGTTTTCCTTTCCGGCTATATGTAAGCAGGGAAATATTTGCATATATGTATGTATGGTATCAATAAAAGAAAATCATTAAATATACCAGGCCTATAATTCTGTACACCAGACGCTAGTTTCGTCAACAAAATATGCATCATGATCAGTGACGCTTGAATATAAAAAAGTTAAAAAGCTAAAATAAAGTACAAAGTTTAAAAGCATAGAATACTCAAAATTCCGAAAGGTTTTGTCAAATACTCATCAAGGATGTTAATAACTAGTTGGTGATTATATTTTCTGTAAACTATTTAATTTTGTGATACATGACTCTTTAACAGTGGACTCCGTTTAGTGACATATGTTTTCTTGTAGCTAACTACCTTTTTTGACCCGGCTGCGCCTCACACTTATATACTTATGACAAGACGTCTTACAGAGGCTATTTTGGCACTGTAGTTTTGCATTAAATGGTCGAAATTAGAAGCCCTGAAGCAACTTTGTCCTGCACAATTAAAACATATGAATATAGATATCTGCAAGACTTGTGTCATGTGAAAATGCATCTGAAGGATGATATTTGATAGTTTTATAAATAAACCTTTTGATATTTGAATTCGAAGGGCCAAAAATTATCATACTTTCTCTTTTTTATTCATATTTCCTTGATAATTTGGTTGTACACATAATTCGCATTAAGTTGAGATTCGGTGTTGAAATATCTGGTTTAATCACTCGCCTTTGAAAATACCTGTACCAAATAAGGCATACAGAATATTGATTCATTATTATTATATACAGATATGTTATGATATAAATCCTGTTGAGGCTAGTGTACAATATCAGCATTTAAATTAACTCGTAGGCGTCAATTTCTGCAATATTTAAATTGGACTATACCACTCATACCTGTACAAGTAACAATAAAGGAAAAATATAAAATATATAACAGTTGTCGATTTTCTTTTCTAAGAAGACACTGACTCAAGCATCCTCATTGAAGTGCTCGATATTTGGACTTTATTTTACTGTAAGATTCACACAATGTCAAGCTTTTAAACGCCTCTAAAGCGTAAAGCCCCTGAAATTTTGAAAACTCAAGTCTCTGAAAGGAGTCCACTGTAAAAGAGTCATATATCATAAAAAGGAAAGCATTTACAAAAAATATAATCGCCACCTAGTTATTAATATCCTTGATGAGTATTTGGCAAAACCTTTCGGAATTTTGAGTATTCTATGCTTTTAAACTTTGTACTTTATTTTAGCCTTTTACCTTTTTTTTATTCGAGCGTCACTTGTGAGTCTTTTGTAGACAAAACGAACGTCTGGTGTACACAAGTATAGGCCTGTTATCTTTGATGAGTGTTTTTATTAACACCGTACATACATATACCGTACATACATATACATACACCGTACATACATATACGCGGAGTGTTTTTATTAACACCGTACATACATATACACATATATTTCCATGCTTACATATACCTAGAAAGATTTCCATGCTTACATATACATAGAAAGGAAAAAATATAATAAAATGTTATAAACTATAGATTATTATTTTATTCCAGTAATACAGATAGGTTCAAAATGAAAATGACGAATAACATTCACGATTGTACCTTGCCAATCTGTATATTGCAGTAAAGTAACAATATTGAAACTCGATCGACTGTAAAATCCACAAAGTATCAACCAATGAACTGATTACATATAACCAAGATAGGTTAATCAACCAATGAACTGATTACATATAACCATGGTAGGTTAATCAACCAATGAACTGTGATTACATATAACCATGGTAGGTTAATCAACCAATGAACTGTGATTACATATAACCATGGTAGGTTAATCAACCTATGAACTGTGATTACATATAACCATGGTAGGTTAATCAACCAATGAACTGTGATTACATATAACCATGGTAGGGTTTTACTAAATAATTCGTCGTCGTATTTGGTTTTGTCTATCATCGTTTTGATTCCAGCGCCAGATCTTATATAAACGAAACGCGCGTCTGGCGTAAAACAAGTGTACGCCTCATATCTTTGACTAACTTTTAACGTTGGCGTTTGCTTTTGTTGTAGTTCAGTGTTTCTGTTGTTCCGTTGTTTTCCTCTTAGAGTTGATGTGTTTCCCTCGGATTTAATTTTTTACCCGGATTTTTGTTTTTGCTTAATCGAATTATGACTATTGAACAGCGGTATACTACTGTTGCCTTTATTTACTTTGTTTCACTGTGAATTTCATAGTCATAGAAAGTTTATCCACTTGTTTAAGTAAGACAGGACTTGAGTTTGCCTAACTCTAGGTTTGTGTCTCCTATTTTATGGAGAATTTACAGACCACATGGGTATGCACTTTACATGACTTAATCAATGTGCAACACCTAATATATAATGTATAAAAGTTGTATAATAGCATAAAGATGCCTCAATACTTAGTATACAGACACTCATCAGAGGTGCCATGCTATATTTATATCAAACTTTCTAATACAGTAATGTGCTCTAGATTCTTCATTAGCGGTCGAACTAAGTATTGTAACCAAAACTGCATTTAGTATTTTGCGTT